AGGTCTGTATATTTATATATTTTTTAAAGGGATGCTCAATTCCTTTTATTTAATGGAAATACATACTTTACTTCTACAGGCAGTAGTAACGTTAAATGGATGCTCAGTTCTTTTTATGTACTTTCTTTTCCTTCTGCAATGCTTACAATACTACAGTGTTTTTCTGGTAAGTTAGTCAGACTTGGTAGCTTTAGTAGACTGAGAAATAGAGTTTAGGATTGTTTTGGTGCACGTACAAAGCTCAGTGAGTGTAGGGCTGTTATATTACCAACCCTATTAGATGGAGCTGAGTCCTGGATAGTGTACAAAACACATGCGGAAAAGCTCAGCAAGTCTCATTTTTCCTATCTGAGAAAAATACTGGGGATTCACTGGAGCGATAAGAATCAGTCACTGAAGTACTTGAAAAGGCGAAAGCCCATAGTGTTCTGCCCCCTGATGAAAATTCAACTTAAATGGGCGGGAGACTCATGGTCTGAATTTCAAACAAATGGCTCCCCTAAGCTATTTTCTACTCAGAATTGATATGTGGAAAGCGGAACATTGTGACCCCCAAAAGAGATTAAAAGACTTTCTGAAGACTTCTCTGAAAGATTGCGCCACTGATTTCGATGAGTTGGAAACCCTCTGTCTTGACTGATCACAGTGATGTAAAGCGATGACATGTAGCACCAAAGTTTTTGAGAAAAACAGAGTTCGTAAGGCAGACTCAGCCTAAAAAGCAAGAAAATCAAGAGTCAAATTCTGACCTCCACATTGGTCCAATAGACCATAAATGCTCTGTTTGTTGACAATTAAAAAAAAAAAAGAACAGTGGTTTAAGATCCCAAACAAAGCCATATTTAGAAGGTTGAACCTACTATGTTTAGTCTGACAAGCACACCACTTTAGGAGAGGGAAAGCCACTGTTTGGTGAGGTGTGATATTTTTTATAATAACAAGTTGCTTGCTGTTATTTCCTTTCCTTTTCTCTCTTTTCCACGCTAGCTATCGCAGGATACTAGCTCAGTCCATAAATTCTCTTCCTGCTTGGATGTTAAATGTCATCCTCAGTTTATGATGGATGAACTGTTGTATCTTATTTTACAAGTATAGCTAGAAGTTTTACAAGGAATGCATTTGTTTCCTTGTTAATACCTTATTTAATGGTGATTACTATCTTTTTTCAGCAAAGGAAAACGCAGTGCTCGTAGTCAGATTTTGCACAACATAGATATCTGGACCCCTCTGAAAGGCAACAGGCTGTACAACAACACATTTGACAACAGAGTCAGGGCAGCTGTCAGAGTAGGAGATTACAAGCTGATCACTGGAGATCCAGGTAGATTTATATCTTTTACTTTCATTAATATAAAGGTACTTGTGGTGACTGAAGAAGGGCACTGCTAGTGGGTCCTTCTTTTTTTCTCCCCCCCCCCCCTATAGTTTTTGTCTGTCTGTCTGTCTGTCTGTCTGTCTGTCTTGCTCGTTCCTTTCACTATCTGACCAGACCATTATTGTGTTGATGTGCTTCTCTTTACTTAGAGACAGATACGCACTATGTGTGTAAAGATGATAACATACATGACTGGTTTTATGTACGGTGGAACCCCGACTAATGACTGAGATCCTTTATGTAGCAAAGACAGACAGAGGGATACAGAAACAAGTAAATGAACATGTAATTGTACAAGTTTACAATGTTTAGCTGAATATCTTAAAATTTTAGTACTTTTACTTATTTTATGGTGATTTTTTCACATAGCACTTTACTGGCATCTGTGTTGCAAAAATTAGGCTCATCACTTTTGAATGCAGAAGACATGATTTTGATCCTCAGGTGGGGAAGTTTTTGGTATATATTGAATCTCTGTCTGTCTACTGGAATGTTGTGCCCTGCACCTCCCATGTTGGCCCTGACAGACAAGGTTGAAGCAGCTCTAAATTGTGTCAATGGCGAGGTGCAAAATTTATCTTAGATATTTTCAACATTTCACAGGGGATGACAGATGGATTCCACCACCTCATGAAGAAATTGACCTGATGACTTCAAAGGAGAAAGTGACTGATCCAGCTGATACAAAAAATTTGTGGCTTTTCAATGTGAGGAAGGACCCCAGTGAAGTTATTGATCTCTCCTTGACCATGCCGGAGAAAGTGGTTGAACTGCTGGCTGTTTTAGCCACTTACAATGCGACTGCGGTTCCCCCAAATTACCCGCCATCAGATCCGAACTGTGACCCAAAGCTGCATGGAGGTTATTGGGGACCTTGGGAATAATAGTATATGTGGATGGTGTTGTGCTCTAACCATATAACTGGAAAAAATGAAACCATTGCTGGAGTCAATGTGTGGGACGTTAATAAAAATCGGGAGTCAGCATGTACCATACGTAGTATAAAAAGATTGTGGGCTAACTTTTGTGTCTGCTCTCATAATTTAAATCTGATTTATGATTATTATTATTATTTTCCTTATTGATCATATTTTTATTATTCTTATTATTTTTTATTTATTTTATTAGTAATTTTTTTTTTACTGCTTAAATTTTTTTATAGAAACCAGTTAGACGATTAGAGCATGACATCATTGATATATATTTTGATGGTACTGCTTTACTTCCAAGCTTCTATTTATTGCAAATTCAGAAATGCAATCTAGATGTGAATTTATTTATTCAGTGGCTTGAAATAGATAATGCAGCTTTATGTATTTTGATATACCAGCTTACCATTTTGATTTTTTATAAAAAATAATTTCTTTAAAAGATTAAGGTTAGCAGTGCATGTCATGACATTTTTCCATCGAATCCTGTCACTGCATTTAAAATGTTTCCCCAACTCACATAAGTTACGATGTTTGAAATAAGTCTTTACTGCCAAAATATGAGATTTTGGTCACCTCAAAATACTTCTAAAAAATGAGCCAGTGCCTTACATGACTCTAATCGTGTGTTGACAGTTTGTTGCATGCCTGCTTTTAGTTAGATGCATAATCTCTGTATATTAAGTTGTTGGCTTTGAACTGAATGCTTACAAGATGCATTGTTCTAACATACATGTATATTGTTTGAAGGAAAGAAAAGAATAGATTTTTTTTCTCGCGTACTTAAAAAAAAAAAGTATTAATGGTCAAAATTGTGTTTAAGGGGGTGTAAAGCATTTACAAACCATGACAATTTACAGTCAGAGAAATCACAATTGGTTTTTGACCTTCCACGTGAAACAACCTTAATGAATGTCACAAGTTATATTTACATTTTACAGAATGAACAAGTAATAAGCATGGTAGGTTTTTTTAAGATAAATTTATCTTCAAATGAGGGTTTCAGTACACTGTTGATTGTTTATTATTATTTTTATGTTCCCGGTTTTTCATTTTAATTGTTACTCATAATTTTTGGGAGATTTTTTTTATCCTCTTATTTTTTCCCGGGTTTTATTCCTAAGTAGAAACTGGTGTTTGTTTCTAGCTCCCTCTACACAAATCTATAAATTATTCTCTTTTCTACAATACAGCTGGTAATCTTTTAACATTCTACGTCGCTGTTTTTTTAACATGTTCTTTTAATGGGCTTTAGTCTGTAGTTCTTTCTTTTATTTCATGCCATGAATAATGATGTGATTAGAGTCAAACCTTGTTATACCGCCTACCTTGGGACAAGCATAAAGTTGTCGGTACAGTGGGACTGGCGTTATTTTGGGATACCACTGATTGCCATCTTGAATCTTGACTTGTGGGGGACCGGTAGAAACTAGAGACAAACTGGCCCGTCTTGCATCATCTAGTCTAGTTCTGTCTTGCAAAATTGCTATGCGCAGGCAAAGAATAAATAACGACAAGTTTGTGGAGATGCATGTTGAAAAGATCATTAGGTAGCCACTGTGTGGGTGCGGTGTGCCATGTGTAGTGTATACCTCTGGCTGTCAATTTGCTGGCTGTACAGCGGAGCAAATTTACATTAGCTTAATAAGGACAATAAGAGTCAGACATTTGGCGGATGGCTGTGTGAAGGCGCAAATACTATGTTTATATAAGCATTCCTTTTTGTACCTTGGCAAAACTTGGCGGTATAATGAGGGGCAATACAACCCCGTTTAACTGTGCAATATATTTTTGCTATTTCTATTGTATGAACTATCAGTATATATATTTTACAACTCTGGAAAATGTCATCTATGATAGTTTAACCACTGTAGTCAGTATTATTTTTATCTATGTATACCAGTACTTTAAATTATTGTCTTTTTTACCACCTAGTCTGGTTTTTCCTTTTGGTTTGTGGCGAGATTTTATGATTTCAAGAATACTATTGCTAGAAAATATCATACTTACTAAAGGTGTTGTTTACTGGAATAATAACGTTTTGTTTTAATGAAAAACATCCACTTGTGCTGAAGTCTAAATTGGTCACTTTATATCAAAAAGAAATTAAATCAATTGAGGATTGCAGTTCAGTGGAAAAAAGAGTAACATTAAAATAGAATTATTAGTACCTCCTTTCAGTTTTAGTTCTTATTCATCCCTCTCCCACTCCACCTCCTTCTCTTAGTTCTTTAAAAGTATACGGCCTTGGTAATTTGTTGCAAAAATACTCATTGTAGTAATTATTTTCATATAATAACTCTTTTCTCAAAATCTCTTACTTGAAGACAGATTCGTTTCTTTATCATTTCATTATAAAATGAGTTGGTATGATTTTTTATACTAATGTTATGCACAATTTTTCAAGAATATGTCCTTAATTTTTACAGGCTATTCTCTCTCATTCCATTTTTACAAAGATGTGATTATTGAAATTATAAATGATTTAATAAATTGTAGGCTTTGTACTCACGCTGAGGTTTTACTTTGTTGACAATTATTGATGGATTCTGAACAGCTGGTGTTGAGCTCAAAATTTTTTTTTAACATTGTCCATTGAATAAAGAGTGGGTTTCGAATTCAACATGTGTTTTTGTTTTGTTTTTTTGTTTGTTTTGAGTCATTTGTTTCCCTATGCACTTGAAAGAAAAAACTGGCGACTTTTAATTTGTGTTTTCAAAGTCCTCTTTGTGGGTGATTGGTGGGCGCTCTGGTGTGGTTTGCTTCTTCTTTCCTTTCAAACATCTATCATCATTTTCTCCCCTCCTTTTTTTGTGTTCGTTACTCTCTTTGTAACACTTCTAATCTTCGGCACTTATATGACCTTATTGTGTTGCAAGTGTCGTAAAACACTTACTAAAACATTCCTCTTTTCCTTTTTTATCCCTTTTTAAAAATATAATTTGCTCGGAGTTTATCTATGTGCCCATCTTTTTGTCTGTTTATCTATCTTCTGTTGTGTTTATCTACTTTGTCAATCCGCATGGGTGGTTGAAGGGCGCCACTGGTAGGTCCTAATTTATTTTTTTTTTCTTCGTTGTGCACTACGTCACCTTATTTTGTGGATGCTTCTCTTTATTCAATAAATGTCTATCCATCTGTACGTTCCATTAAAATTTATTCCATGCCTGTGTGCACTAATTCTATTGGGGAGTTAGAATTGAGCTCACGTAACTGAGCCATGTTCTCTCGATTTGTAAAGAGAATTTTAAAAGTGGGTGGTTGACGGGTGCTCTGGTGTGGTTTGCTTCTTCTTTCGTCCTATCAAACATCTACATATATCCCCTCCTGGTTTTTTGGGGTGTTTGTTACTAAACTAAACTAAACTAAACTTAGTAAACTTGTCCACTGTGTTGGGGTCACTGCAGTGGGAACATATCCATCTCTGCTCTCCCCCCCCCCCCTCTTCAGGATCCATCCCAGAGTTTGTCTACTTATAGTCTCCATCATAATCTGGTTGGAGATCCGTCAGACTGGTCCGCACAGATGGCTGTGTTTCCCCTCTCCTCTTTGGATCCCCTTCTCCTTCAATCTACCTAGAGTGTGGGAACCGCTATTCGCCCTATTCTTCCTCAAATTTTCCCTTACAGCGGTTAGGACGGTTGGTGGGTCCAGTGTCAAATTCTCTCCATCTTTTGCTTCTCCAGCAAGCTTGTCTGCTCTCTCGTTGCCGGTTACCCCCGCGTGACCCGGGCAGAAGATCCAGGCCACTCTTTCCAGGCTGCTCTCCCTGATCGTAGCCTTCCAGTCCACATACAGCATCCCTTTCTGTACCTTCTGTAGTGTGCTCATTGAGTCAGTAATGATTACTGCTCGCTGATGGCTTGTGTTCTTGATCCAGTGTAGAGCTTCACTTATGGCTTTAAAAAAAATCTCCATACACATACTTGATGTTGTCAGTGCAGTTGCTCCACTTTGCTCTTTCACTACTACCCCATCAACTCTGACATTGAAGGCCCAGCCGATTTGACTCCTCTGTTGACTGATCCATCCGTGAAGATCACAGCATCTCCATGTTCGCTATGCTCTTCTATGAGGGTTTCAATTTCAGCGTTTGTAGTTCCAAGTGGCCAGTCGCGACATTCTCTACCCAATGTTGCCTTCACTGTTGTGTACTCTCCGAGCGCATCTTCGACCACAACCCAATCCCTGCCTCTCCTGATGTCTTGTATCTGGCAGCACTCGTTGATGGTGTTCGTGACTTGAGTAATCCATTCTGTGCCCCTCTTTAGCCTTGATGTCATCTGCCGTCCCACTTTCTTATGTAGAGGGTTCGTCTCGTCTGCGCTGACTCGCAGAAAGGCTTGGACTTGTGCCAGTTTGTGCCTCTCGTCTGCACATGAGAAGTCTAGGAAGTATCTCATTGCTTCAGTTGAGGTATCTCGTGTGCACCCCAGGATTGCCCTCATTCCTTCATTTTGTAACACCTCGAGTCGTTGCAGTTGCGCCTTTGATAGGGTCAAGAGTCCGAGCCCGTACTCTACGACAGAGAGTACCAGTGTCTGGTAGAGGATGACAAAGATTTTCTGGCTCATCTTAGCTCTGGCCATCATCTTAAGGGCTGTAATTAGGCCTTTTCTCGCCCTGTGTTTGTTACTCTCTTGTAATACCTCTAATCTTCGGCACTTATATGACCTTATTGTGTTGCAAGTGCCGTAACACTTACCAAAACTAAGAATTTAAAAAAGATGTTTTGCCATGATAAATTGTGGTTGGTTGGAGGGAGCCATTGGTAGGTTTTACTTTTTTACTCTCTGTTGTTTCTGTCTATTCAATCATTCTTATTTTTTCTAAACACTAATCAGTAAACTATATATTTGTGCCTCTTTGTTTCTCTAACTCAGCTAACTCCACCCTTCTGGTCAACAATTGTCTTTTTAATGTGGTTCATTTCGGAGGATTGGCTTCTGTGGAGCGGTGTTTAGGCGCTTTGCAATTGCACACAGAAGACATAAGTTTCATTCCCTTAAGGAGATATTTTTTATCGAGATTCTCTGTTTGCTGAGATGTTGTATCCCTCCCAGCCCGGGATGGCCTCATAAGAGGTGGGGTCAAAGTCTGCTTCGTAAATGATCTAATTGAAAGTCCATAAAACACATTCAAACCAAAAAAATGTTGGAGGAATAAAATTAATAAAACAGTAACCTGACATACTAATATTACATATATATCAAAGAAGCCTGTCTTTTGAAATTCAGTTGATTGGTATTTCTAGAGATGTTTGTATAGTGGCAAGGAAATGGGTATAAATTGCACTGGTCTAAATCGAGCCAAGAGAAGAAAAAAATTGTCAATTTCAGATCTCAGGAAAGAAAATGGGTTCTCAAAGCAAACTTCTTTTTACTTTTTGATATCCCATTTTTCAAACTGAAAAGTATTCTAATTTTTAAAAAAGTCTTGATTGTGTTAATTTGGACACACACTCTCACATATGCACACACACACAGTCACACACACACACACACACACACAC